TATATATATATATATACATTTGTGACATCTCAACAATTGCTGTTTTCATGATTTGACCAAAACTACTACAACTCTAATTTCTTACCATTATATTTTAGTCTATAACTGTGGTATGAAAGGCAGAGGGTGACATGAATTCCTTCAAGAAATGCTGGGCCCTTATTTCTCCCAAATGTCTTTTCAATATAAAATGTTTGCTTCATTTCAGAGCTGCAGAAAAAGGGAACTTTGAAGCTGCTGTTAAACTTGGCATTGCTTATTTGTACAACGAAGGACGTAAGTTGAAGTTATTTCCCTCTTATTTTTTGGCCCAGTCAGTGTACAGTAAATACCCGCTTTTACTCTGGTTGAATGAGTGTCAGTTTAACGTCGGAGACCGAACCATCTTGATGAAATGATTACAGCTCTTCACGCTTGCCTTCTTTCTTTCCTCTAGCGCTGCTGAGTGATGAGGGGCGAGCGGATGTATGTGGTCGAAAAGCCTCCCACTTCTTCAGTTTGGCGGAGAGCCTGCGCTCTCCCAAAGCCGATCCCTTCACATGGGTGTTTATCCGTCCGCCGTGGTCGCCCACTGGCAGCTGCTGCAAGGCCGTGGTATTCGATCGCCTCAAGGCTGAGTGCGATAACGACATGGTAGGCTCTGCTGCTGCCAAATCAGTGTAAATGTGGCTGCTTCTTGGGAAATCTTGAAACAAAATTCAAAACCTAACATCCCTCAAAGGAATGCAATGGACTTGTATGACTCTCGGCTACGACCGCACCAAAATTTAGCTTAATATTTTAAAAATTCACTGAACTACAATAATTTTTGTGTTGGCTAATGTGAAATAGCTGTGGTAGCCTTTTTGAATTGGGCTCACTCCAAAAGTTAATCAGTTGCATATGTACATCTAATAATTACTTCCTGATCATTTCATTAAATTTATGGGGAAAACAAACACGCATGCTAAAACATCTCTTTACTTTTACTGACAGACAGTAAATCTTTAAAGGGATCCCCAATTAGTTGTAACATTAGACTTTTATTTGATAAACATATTGATTAATATGATTAACCTTCAGGCTGGATATAGCTCGCTCACACCGAGGACCTATCCATGTCATCCTTTACCCAGAATGCTTTGTGTGTAAATAAAATGGCTCMGTCCGTGTTAAAATATATTTTTTAAAAATGTACAAAACTAAACAGCCTACAGTATTTTTTACAGTCTTTATTTTACAGTTAAAATATATGTTTATCAAATAAAGTCTAATGTTACAACTAATAGGGGATCCCTCTAATAACTGCAGGTGACTTAATGCGTAGCACTCACAGCAGCAATGATTTTTATTTTTTCTGTAAATTCTAGGATATTTGCATGAAACTATTTCAAGTGTAGAAACTCATTTTTCTCTTTTTCTCTGCAGGAGAAGAGGGGTCCATTGTTACACTGTTTGGCCAGAGTTTTGCTTCTCTTTGACGTGAGTGAGATTGAATCTGACTTTCTGGGTGTGGTTTGCTCAGTTTCTACGACTCTGAATAAAAATGCTAATCTTTGTGCTTGCACAAATTGATTGGTTGCCTTTCTTTTATCCATTGTTGTATTAGTTTCAGTCCATTACTCAAAGCATCGCTGGTCTTTGTTGTTTGACACGTCAGTAGCGTTAATAATTAGCCGAAACAGTGTTCGTCAGACTGTCAGTTTACTGCCGTCTTACAAGTGTAGGGAAACAAAAACATTCATCAGATGCGTCATAAAAATCTGCGACTCTGCTGACTTTTTTTCAGGAGGAAGAAAGACGCCTGAATGGCGTATCTTTGCTGGAGGAGTCGTCACGGGCCGGCTGCCTCCTCAGTTCTTACCTGCTGTGGGAGCACAGCCGCAAAGCAGCTGTAAGATGGATCCTTTTTTTCGTGTATTCAATTCCCTTTGTGACACCACCAACTCAATTGCAGCACCGTTGTTATAAAATTGGCTACTGAATCCAGAAATGTTTAAATGTAGTGGAGACTGTTTTGAAGGAAAACATAAAAGGCATGTTTTGTATTTCAGATTGCAGACCCGGGAAGGTACCTGCAGTGTGTGCGAACTCTCAGGGACTACGCAAGCAAAGGATGCTGGGAGGCACAGGTGTGTGTGAATTAAAAATTGAACTGATCCGTTCAGTTAGCTCTCTCCCTCTTTTCTGTCTGCTTTCTTTGTCAGCGTGGAGTTTTATTTTCTCTGGGCTTTGTAATAAAATCTCTGACACTTTAAATTTGACAGCTTTTTGTCTCCTGTGCTTTTCTTCCATTTATCTTTCCCCTTAGTTCTCATTGAAGCGATATCACGTTGTGTCAGAAGGGCTTGACAGTTGCTGACATACTTCTTTTTTTTTCCCCCTCACCACACTGAATCATAGTAACGTGACTCATCTGAATTGCAAAATCTCCAAATGCGGCGCAAACAAGTGCAGCACTCCATCATGTTGTTGTCATTTTAGCTTTAAATTATTCTGAATTTTTTTTTCCCCTTTTACCTTCTTTCTCAGTTGTCTTTGGCCAAAGTGTGCAGCAGTGGGAATCCACTGGGTTTGGAGTCCAAAGCCTGCTGTGATATCGTTGCCCAGGTTTTCAGTTCTTCTAATGTGGAGCAGCACTGTGCTCAGGGTATCCTCAGGAGGGGTATCAAAGACACCATGAGGTACACAAGAACAGAAACTCCACTGTGATGTTCCCGAAATGATGACTCAGTGTGTTTTTAATGTCTTTAAAGTGAGCATATAAAAAATAAGCATGCATTTTAAAAATTTATGCTCTGTTCTAAAACTCAGTGAAAACTCAACCATGTCACTGTTTTGTGTTCACATAAGCTTAAGAACAATCTATTTATAGCATTTGCAAACATTTCTAAGAAAACCATCAGAATATACAATGGTATTTGCCTTGACTGTAAACGTGAAAGTTTTTATTTAAGAGTTACAAGCAACATTTACATAAAATATGTATTTTTGATCATTTTTCCTTATTCTTCTAACTTTTTCTTGCATTGTTCAGGTACATCCTGGTGGACTGGCTTGTGGAGGTGACCACCATGAAGGACTTCTCCAGTCTGACTCTACATGTGACTGTAGGTTGTGTGGACCGCTACTTGGCTCTGCGCTCTGTCTCCAAGGCCCGTCTGCAGTTATTAGGAATAGCATGCATGGTGATTTGCACACGGTGAGGACGCTTGCTAGTCAGGCTCTTACTGTTTATGTAGCTAGTCTTTTATAATGACATATGTTTAGTTTATTCTTACATTATGCAGAAAATCTTACTTAAAATGATCAGGCTAATTTGATGTGTTTTTCCACTTCACTCCAGGTATATCAGTAAAGAAATCCTAACCATTCGTGAAGCTGTTTGGCTCACAGACAACACATACAAATATGAAGATTTGGTTCGGATGATGGGAGAGGTGGTTTCTGTGCTAAAGGGGAAAATCAGAGTAAGTAATCATTGTTAAGGTGGTGATAAAGTCGTCTAATTTTAAGATTAATGAACATGTTTTTTTTTTTTCCCTTTTCAGAGCCCCACGCTGCCGGATTATGGGAAGGTGCTGCTCTCCTTGCTCCCCATGGAGAGGAGATCCACTCACCTGTTCAGCTATGTCTGCGAACTGTCGCTGCTCTACTCCGCTCTCACCTCGCCGCCTCCTGCCAAACTGGCCTGCGCTGCACTTCTCCTTACACGGGCACTGCATCACTACGGTACTAACCGATGCTAACACAAACAAGGCATAAAGCTGTCTAAATTTACGATTTTTAGTTTTGTGTAAAGTTTATATTCATCTTGAGTTATGCCCGCAGGTCCCGTCTGGCCCTCCCTGCTAAGCGAGTACACAGGCTTTTCCAAGCAGGACCTGGTTCCGCTTTCTGTTCTGCTTTATGTCAAATGGTAAGTTCATCTGTGTAAATGTTTTGATTGGACTGATAACCAAACAGTTACATTCTAACCGCACTCTTCAGGATCATACCACCCTATTGGTGGATTTATTTGTATGTGTTTTTAATGGTTGCTCTCAAACAGCAGATTCTGGATTGGAAACACAAATGGATTCTATCACAAAGATACAAAAATAACTGAGATTTTTATTTTCTGTTTCTGTTACTGTACCGTGACTCACACCTGACTGTAAAACTCGCATCTTTTCTGTACACGATTGGAAAACAGCTATTGATTGGTTATGTGTCAGTATGTTGTCATATTGATTAGAAAAGGGAAGCTAAAAAAATCATCCGCTAATAAATAGCCTCGTAAAAGGAGCATAAAACATAGATCTGCAGTGGAAGGCATTATTCAAAGTGTGTCACAGAAATGTGTCTCAGTTTAATAGGTGAGCATTGTCCCAAGAAACTAATCTTCAAATGGACAAGTAACAAGATTTGTCCTTAGGAGTTTATTGTATTGTTGCAGTGGCTATAGTGGATCCAACTCAATTTCTTTTTCCATCTCTTTCATTTGTCTTTAGTTTCAGTCAAGATGTTCCCAAAGACTACAGACACATGTCTCTGACTGGTGTAAAGCAACGCTTTGAAGATGAGGCCTACCAGCAAATCAGCAAGGAAAAGGTACTTAATTAAATACGCTTCTTTCTTTGTCACTATAAAAAAAGGTTCAAGTTCACTAGTTTGTTTTTCTGCACATCTGTTACCGTTTTTCTCTAATTTGCCATTGATCTTACTTCTTCACCTCCACAAGGTGATGGAATTTAAAGAGCTCTGCCAGATCTTAGAGATTCCTGAAGTTGAGCCTCAGATGGACCCTCCCAGTCCCACTGGTGCTCAACCAGCAGACATCCACACATTCCTGGCCTCCCCATCAAGCACCAACAAGAGGTGAGCCAGCCACCAACACACAAATTCTCTTTATTTCCTTTCAAAATGTGTAAAAATAAAATTATTCTACCATAACCTAGTTGGATTTCTTGCGCAAAGTGTTGATTGAACAATTTTGTTTCTCCAAAATGAACAAAGCAAGACATGCTTTATTTTTTATGTATAGATACGTGAAAAACCAGACCACTTTTTTGATGTGATATTTGGTTTCCGTTTATGGTGCTTCAATGCAGGGGACACCATTTGTTAAAAAATCATTAGTAATTGGCTCTGGCAGTGGAGATGTTCGCTGCTGATTGCTGCGTGCATGAACAGTCCGATGATTTCAGATAACTCAATTGACTGCAAGAGAAGACCAGGAACGGAAGCTGTTAAAGCTACAATACACAACAGGACCAGATCAGGAATCTTAAACTCAAAATAGATTTTGTTCCTTTTGCTATGGTCTCCAGTTCGCTTTAAACACAGTCCAATATGTAAAGACAGAAATCTATAGGTTTTATTCTGCTTAAACCACTAGATTTGAAAGACAAAAATATTTTGACAAAACTAAACAGTCAAGCAACCACTGACCCTGCCGGGTTTCTTGCTCATTTAGCAGTCCTAATTATCTCCTGCGCGTCGTGACCAACAGACCCGTGAACAGGCCTGTCCAGAAGGTGTTTTTCTTTGTGCCATCTGTGAGGAGCTCCTGTGACTCACTGAAACCCTCCGCCTGTCTACCTCTCTTCCTCCCAAGGAGACGCGAAGACAGCGTGCAGGCCCAACGGGGCAGTTTGGTGACCACGCCCACGGCAGAGCTGTCCAATCAGGAGGAGATGCTGCTGGGAGACATCCTGGACTGGAGTCTGGACTCCTCCAGCTCCGGCTATGAGGGGGACCACGAGGAAGAGAGCGAGGGAGAAAAAGATGGTGATTGTAAGCACGAGAAAAAAGAAGGCAAAGGGGACATTTATTCCTGTGAGATTCTTAGAAGTCTTATAGGTAATGCATGTAAATGACCTAATCTAGATGGAAAGTAGGAGAATAATGCATGAGCTCCACTTTCAATGGGACATAATGTGACTACAAATGACTCAGCAGCTGTTTTGTCCATCTTTATTAACTTGGATAATGAGAGTAAATATGGAGCAATAACAATTGTGATTATTTATCTTGTGCGCATTTCTCATTTCTTTTAACTTTCTTTTTAACAGCGTCAATGATATCCATCAAACTGCGCCCGCTGAGCGATGCAGACGTTGGAGGAGAACACTGCAGAGCTCTGTCCAGCGACGAAGACAGCTTCTGTGAAGCGCTGGGCGAGGCGAACAAAGATCAGCAACAACCCCTCCCCTCGTCTGCAGATCTTCGTAGCTCAGGATACTCTTCCGTCCAGAGCGTTAGCCCCTCGTCTACATGCTCCTCCTCATCAGCCACCTTCACGCCTTGCACATTCAAGACCTTCACCGCCTCCTTGGGCGCCGTCTCTGCTAACGTCCAGCCAGGTTTCCGCCTCTTGGTGCCCATGCAGAGGCCCAGGGGCACCTCCACCAAACAAGTGAAGAGGAAGAACACAGCAGCTCACAGTGGAGGTGAGGTGGAAGGAGAGGAGTTCTCTGCCAGTGCAGGGTTTCTGAGCCTGTGAGAAGGAATTATTAATCCAATGACCACCAAAACCACTCGCTCAGATTCAGACTTGCAGCACTTTTGGTCTGTTCTCAAGGTTCCTCCAAACCTGTGAGTCTGAACTGGTCAATCAAAAGACTTGGAGTTTTGAAACTTGAAAGGGAAAAAAAACGAACATGAACGGGGAAATAACTTGTCTTTCTATCACGTTACATTTCATCTACATGTTTACAGGCAGGGACTGATAGAAATACCTCCCATGAACTGAGATTCACAGTCAGCTGTAAAACCACTGGAAAATGACTTGACTTCTCCCAGGAGCCTGATGCATTTCAGCCTTCTACAACAACCTATCTCAGATCACGTTTGATAGCTGGAAAAAACAACCTCAAGTTTTTGTTTTTTTGTTTGTTTTTAGGTGGGAAAATGCAGCTGTCATAGTTTTAAAAAACTGTTTTGGTTATTGTAGTTTCTGATATGCACTGTGTACAAGAAGTAGTCTTGTATTAAATTGATCCCTAAAAACGTTGACTACTGCGTTCTAGTTGAACAGTTTGCACCCGAAGCCTGAAAAATGATTGTCAACCTTCTTGTTGCTCTGCTTTGTTCTTTATTCTGCATCTTTGCCAAAGGTACTGTGGTGTCATTTGTCATTTCACTGGCATCTGTTTAAAGAAACAGAGCTGTGAAACGTGTCGCTTTGTAGTCTGCATTGGCTGCAGTCCACTTATACAGCAGTTGATGAGCATATTTTATCTTTTACCTGTGGCACACTAATCCCATCAAGAGCTCTGCACAGATGTTAGTTAATTCACTAATCAAGAAGCTAAACTTTCAACTTTCTTGCGCAGTCTTCAGTGTTCAAATGTAATGTGAAGCTCAAACATAATTTTCCTCCAAACTGAATCAAGTTTAGCACTTTTATATCATCACAGATGTGCAATGCAATGAAATGTACCATGCTTCCTAATTTTACTTTGAACATTCAGTATTGAGGAATTATTTTTATTTCAACGAATTTGTGTTTCTTGTCTTTAACACAAATCAAAGGTAACACACTAGAGGAAAATTATTACCCAGTGAGCTTCTCGAAGAACTGTATGTCTCATTCAGGATACAGATGGCAAAGACATAACATCAAAACGATTGTGACTGACTGTAAATACATTTTAAACCGTTACTCCTGTCTGTTTTGTTTTCTTTCCCTTCAAATGTACATAGCGCTAAGACAAACATGCCACTACTTGAAATTGTATTTGCTCCATTCCAAAAAAAAAAGAGGCAGGTTTTCTTTTATAGTTTTTTTTTACAGTTCAGTATGTTCCATAATGTGAATATGTATTTTTTTGTACTGAGTTCAATTAAAAAAAGTTTAAAACTTTGTAATTTGAATCCGTTTTAATGCTTTCCCATCACACACTGTATTATTATTTAGTTGTTCAAATCATTACTGATATGTATTAATTGTTTCTTTCCTGCTTATTCTGACCCCAACCAATTAAGGCAAAGGCTTCCTGAGCCTGGTTCAGCTGTAGGTTTCTTCTTGTTATAAAGGAGTTTTTTCTTTCCACGGTCACCATTGTGCTGCTCAGAATGGGAGATTGCAATGAAGTGAAAATTTGATGCAATCTGCTGGCTTCCTTATATAACTAACTAAATGGCACACTGCCCTGAGATGACTTTTCTTGTGAATTAAAAAAAAATTAATTAGCAGCTGATAATGCTGCTATTTTGAACTCCTTTGTGTCCACAGCTGAATAGAAATACTGAGGCAGTGTCTATAACTTAGAGCATAACATAAATTGTTTTGGTCACGTGACGAGCTGTGTTCCTCAGATCACGTGACTTTTGTTGACGCTCGTCGCTCGCTACGTTTTGTGGGACAATATAGCCGACGTCCATCCAGGCTTTGGTGCAATGTCATCGCCTCGCTACTACTAGCAGGCAAGCGAGCTGCCGAGGCTGGACTGCGGCGCGCTTAGCTTTACCAAATGCCACCGAACATCGATGGTGTTGATGACAGAAGAGGCCTAGCGGTGATGTTTATCTCGCCGGTGTTGAGACGATAAAGCAGGAACTGTTTTTTCACCTCGGCTGGTGTGTGGAGAGGAGACAGACGGGACCTCAGGTTATCCGCCGAAACATTTGCTTTTAAGGTATTTAAACACGTAAAATACATGTAAAGCAACACTTTAGTTGGGAGAAGTGATTTTGGAAGTGGTTTTAAATAACAGACGTGCAAATGGACTGACACGATATTTTAGTTTATCCGTTTTCTTTGTTGTATCCTTAGCTCCGATGTTTATGGGGGAAAAAAACACATAGAGATTGACAAGCACTTTGACTGACCAATCAGGAAAGCCGAAGGACTCATTTGGACCAATCAGAATAAGTTTTTTAATACAAGGAAATAGTTCAACTTTAACAATTTGTTTACCAAAGCAAACAATTTTATAGCAGATTTTAAGTTTCAAGCACGTATTTTTTAAGCTTATTTTTTTTTATTGCGAACAAGTAAAAGTACTCCAAATTTAATATGGGAGCAAGATAAAAATTTGCCATTACAAGTGTTATTTTTAGGGGTTTTTCATGTCACAAATCATGTTTACGATAAAATAAAACTCAAAGTCATAGTAAGTGTTCTCTAGGACTCAACTAATGCAAAACAGTTTTTATTATTAATTTTAGCCCACCTTTTGTAGTATAATTTTGTGTCTCTAACTGTATAAAATAGTCATTGAAAGTTATCACAAACAATCATATTTAATCATATTTTATTTCTATGGCATCATTATGAGTAATAATAATAAGTAATTTAGCCACGATTGCTCCATTTTTTTTACATATATTGACCTAATTTATCTTTTAAATCCTTATAACCATTTTAGTGTTCTCTCGTTTGATTTTTGTAGTTACAAAACTGAAGACAACTGATAATTTTAATAACTCATGATTGCTGTTTCACTTCTCTTTTTCATTGTTTTTTCATTTATCGTCAAATGGAAACTGAGAAATCTCTTCCAGCTGTTTTTCATTTTACATCTAACCCCAAAATTAAAATGTATGTTTTTTTTCTTTCTCCAGCCACTGTGAAAATCTGCCTTGTCTGTTTCTTGTTTACTGACAAAAATGGCTATCATCAGACAATTTGGACTGCTGGTGTGGAAGAACTCTCTTCAGCAGGTGAGTTGGAGGAAGATGCTCATAAATCTTGTGTGTTTTCTCTCTATATTAGGTTCCGATGTGGTCTGAGACTGTATATTGTCAGAACATAGCCCTGGTTTAGGAGCAGCAGCTTGTATAACATAATTTAAGTAATTGGCATTTGGAACATCATAAATACAGAAAACTGACTAACATTTTGCTTCAACAACTTTAGATATTATCCAGCCACCTTTTTGAAGTAATACAGTACATTTAAGTGTTATGTCACAAGCTTAATATATCTCGTACAGCAGCTGCCTTCATGAAATGTCAAAACATACAACTTTACTGGTTTTGTTTAAATTTTTCAAAATTGTTGTGACTTAGGTTATGACCCTGATGGTGAAATAAATTCAGTCAAATAACTTTTCAACCAAACTATGCTTGATCATACTTTCATCAACTGTTAGTAAAGTTCTTTCTTTCTTTCTTTCTTTTTTTCTTTCTTTCTTTCTTTCTTTCTTTCTTTCTTTCTTTCTTTCTTTCTTTCTTTCTTTCTTTCTTTC